GTCGCTGCAACTTGTTCTGATGCTCGACAGAAGCAGAAACTTTCCCCAGAGTGTCACGTAGAAATATTCTGTCTGTTCCTGATTAAATCATTTCTCATGATCACACAGCAGCTCAGAACTTCCTTCACAAACTGGTTTTCTTTGCTGATGCAGGATTTGTTTTCAGCAGAACAACTCCCACGGCCCAAAGTGTGACGCTGGTAAAAGCATCTTAAATGTGTTTGAGCTTCTCATGACGTTCAGTTTTAAGCTTTGTGGTGCTGATTTAAACCTTTAAACACGTTAGTTGTGTATCTGGCTGCCACATCTGGCTGCAAATCCTGTCATCTGGGTCTTTGAGCGACAAAAACGCTTCATTTTCTGCATTTTGGTTGATTTTTAAGCAGCAATTTGTGCAATTTTTGTTGGAATTGTCTTAATTTATGGAAAAGAAACGACTAAATTAGAACATAGAGGAATATAAATGGATCTAATTATATTTTTTATATCAGATTTAGTAGCTGTATGTGACATAATTCTATTTTTTTTACTCAAACAAATGGTGCTGCAGCGTTTTTATATGCTTGATCTAAAAACAAACCGTCTGAGATGCTTTAACGCCACATGAAGCGTTTTGTTCTCTCTTTTCCTAATAAAAAGCACTTTTATGTATTTATCACACAGTCTGGGCTTTGTGGTGCTGATTTAAACGGTCCAACACGTTAGTTGTGTTGCAGAGAACCTGTTATAAGTCCACATCTGGCTGTAAATCCTGTCGTCGGGGGTCTTTGAGCGACGAAAACGCTTCATTTTCTGCATTTTGGGGGATTTTTAGGCACCGATTTGTGCAATTTTTGGTGGAATTGTCTTAAATTATGGAAAATAAAAGACTAAATTACAACACAGAGGAATATAAATGGATCTAATTATATTTTTTATATCAGATTTAGTGGCTGTATGTGATATAATTCTATTTTTTTCTTTATTTTATGGTTGACATAAAAAGAAACTCATTTATTCTGATTTAAAGGTTCCAGGTTTAACAGTTTGTTCAGACTATGATATGATTTGCTTTGTCAGAGCAGTACAGGGGGCAGAGGGGCCGTAGAAATAAAACATATACATAAGAGCTTGATTAATGCTCAACAGACTCTAGTGTACGTAGAAAAAAATGAGCAAAGAACCAAAGAGAAACGCTGACAAAAGGAGGATTTGGCTGCAAAACGGAGCAAATCCTTCACAGGTGTAGATTTCAGGAAGTGCGTTGGTCCTCCACAATAAAAGACTATTTAAAACTATTAAACATTTTATCCTTCAAATATGAACGATGAGCTCAGACGACATAATTAGATCCAAATACAACCATCAGCTTCGTCATAAATTATACTTTTTGGAAGCTTCCTGTTGTTATAAAATGTGACGATGCTACTTCCTGTTTATGATTAAAATCAGACGTCAGCTGTTTATCAGATTCCGCTGCTCGGTGACTGGATGTTTAAGACATTTCCAACGTAAACTACTGCTTAAACATTCACCTGAAGACCAAACGTGTGTCGCCACCACACAACACAAGACAACACAACACGACTCATCAGTGCGACAATTAAATCCAAATGAGAAAACTACTTCAGACGCCTCTGACGGGATGTTTGGTAGTTTTTCTGCAAAATATACAGAAATAATCTTGGAATTTTCACCGTTTTTCCTCGACTAACTCTATCAGGAACCAGTGAACCGTCCCAGAACCATGGAGGAGCTTTTCTAGCTTCATGCATCTGCAGAGAAAACACCAAACATTTTCAGAAGAAGCCACTTCCTCAGTCCTTCATGCTGCTGATTTAAACAGACCATCACATTATCTGCCTTTTAGTGACGACGGCTGCTGCAGAGAACCTGTTTGATGGACGTTGTTTCTTCTGGAGCTTCTATAAAACCGTGTTAGTTTCAAATCGTTCTTTTTTGGGTTTTTTTGCTCATGTTTCTGCAGCTCAGCAGTCTGTGTGTCTTTTAAATGAAGTTAAATTAAACTACAAGAATGTTTTTTTTTTTAAATCAGAGCAAATTGTGAAACTTTTCCTTGAGGATGAAGAAGCAGAAACGGTTTTATCATCGAGTGTTTTCAGGTTTTTTTCCTTCATTTCTGCTGCAAACATCACAACAGCGACGCCGACGAGCCGCCAACACGACGAATGAACGTCATCCGAAGCAAAAACAACTACTTCCAGGGCTGAGAAGGTTATTTTGGGGTTTTTCTCTGCAGGTTTGGTGTAATCTGCTGGATTTTCAGAATAAAATGCACATGGACTTTATATATATACACACAGCAGCTGCACTGATAAACTTTCCAGAGAAACCTCTGCACACCGACTTTCCTTCACTTCTTTCTAAACAGTTGTTCAAGTCATCCGGGTCAAATTTAAAGTTTGTTTTCCAATATATAATCACAGAAAAGCTCAATATTGCAGTGAGTTGGTGCAACATCTCACTTCCTGTGGCTGCAGGTTTCATTGAACTCTGAGCAGCAAACACTTCACATTCTGCATTCTGGTGAATTTAAGCATCAGTTTGTGCTTTTTCGGCACCGATTCATGCCGGAAACGTCTTCATTTATGTAACAGAAGAGAGTAAATGCAGCCAGCATGAGCCATATGGACCCAAATGTGTTTTCCACAATAGATTCAGGAGCTGCATGACACATACTTCATGTTTTCTAGTTAAAATAGGTCCAGAGTTAAAGAAAAAGGCCAATATTCAGTCTGTTAGTGACGTTTTTTCAGAAAACTGTTCTGTTTTTCCAACCAAATCTTCCTTTTTCAGTGTTTTTCTGTTGTTTTTTTCCTATTTTTCTGTTTATTTTCTATGAAAACTAAAGAAATTTTTGCCTCTTTTGCACCGATTTATGTAACAAAGAGAGTAAATGCAGCCACCAGGTGATAATAGAGAATATAAAAGAGTATTTATGGATGTAAATATGTTTTCCACAACAGATTAGGAGGTTGTGTGACGCATAATTAATGTTTTTAGTTAAAACAGACCCACTGGTGGAAGAAGAAGTGGCCTTATTCAGTCTGTTAGGTGTTTTTCGGGATAGTGTTCTGTTTTTCCAACCAAATCTTCCTTTTTCTGTGTTTTTCTGTAGTTTTTTTCCTATTTTTCTGTTTACTTTCTGTGAAAAATGAAGAAATTTGTGCCTCTTTTGTACCGATTTATGTAACAGAAGCCAGCAGGTGATAATAGAGAATATTAAGGAATATTTATGGATGTAAATATGTTTTCCACAACAGATTAGGAGGTTGTGTGATGCATAATTGATCATTTCTGAGATAAAACGGGTCCAGTGTTAAAGAAAAAGAGCCACTATTCAGTCTGTTAGTGATGCTATGGGTGTTTTTCAGGATAGTATTCTGTTTTTGCAACCAGATCTTCCTTTCTGAGTGTTTTTCTGTTGTTTTTTTCCTATTTTTCTGTTTGCTTTCTTTAGAAAATAAAGAAATTTGTGCCTCTTTTGCACTGATTTATGCTGAAAATGTCTTAATGTATGCAACAGAAGCCACCAGGTGATAATAGAGAATATTAGGAGGTTGTGTGACGCATAATTGATCATTTCTGAGATAAAAC